TATATATATATATATATATATATATATATATATATATATATATATATATATATATATATACAGTTCAGCTTCCTGAGTCATCTCTTTTACCCGTACCTTAATAACCACAACAGATTATGGGCCCAGGACATTTCTGATAAAATTATCGAGGTAGAAAGCACCGTAAACAATGCCCCGAGTACATATGCTACACGTAAGAGGTTAGGTTGCGCATCCGTCGAGGCTAACCGTACACGAAGCTGTACTGTTGTGATTTAGACGATTCATTATCTATATCTATTACAAGACTCGGCGAATATCATCAAGGATATGCTTAAATATCATAATAATGGCGGAAAACATGTACGTGAGAGCAGTAACAAAATTTGATGGCACAAACTTTCAGCTTTGGAAGTTCCAGATAAAAGCTATCCTAATAAACAATGGTATTCAGAACATTGTTAATGGAACCAAACCGGAGCTACGAGAACCAGCAGAACGAGAGCAATGGATCAAGGATAACGCAAAAGCCATGTTCATCATATCAACAGCCTTAGAAGAAAGTCAGTTGGAATGCCTTCTTACATGTGTAACCACTGCAGAAATGTGGACAAAATTAACAACCACCCTTGAGCGAACATCTGCAACTAACAAGCTACAACTCATGCAGAAATTTCACGAGTATCACAACATATTGCCCGTATAGAAAATTTGACACATCAGTTGTCAGATATAGGTGAGAATATGTTGCTATAATAGCCAAAGTTCTAGGTAGCCTGTCGTTGAAGTTTCGCATGTTCGTCACAGCATGGGAAAGTGTAGATCCAACTCGTCAGACACTGAATCATCTTCGAGAATTATTGTTAACAGAATACTAGACTGTAAAAGATTTGCATGAGAATTTCATGCGAATCTTTGGTCGCATATGTTCGCATCCCAAAGATCCAAAGAAAGAAGTTAGAATCAAAAGCCAAGAAGCTTATTCTAATAGGATATGAAAAGGACTCAACGAACTATTGTTTATACGATCCAGTATCTCGGAAAATTAGCATCAGTCGTGATGTAACGTTCAACGAAGAAATGGCAATTTCATTCGAAGCCAGCGATTTTCAACAAATGGCTATACCACTATGAATGTTCGATAAAGACGATCATTCAGATCATGAGGAACATAATGAAGTCAATGACAGTGATCGGAATGAATGCCAAGGATGAGAACAAGATGAAGAAGGAGTTCATTCTCGACGCCTACGTGATAGATCTACAATTCGTCCTCCACAAAGGTTCGAGGCAAACTTCGCCCAGTATCACAAGCCAGTGACATACGAGGAAGCAGTAAATAATCCTAATGCTGAGGAATGGAGAAGAGCTATACATGAAGAGCTAGATGCATCTAATGGCACCTGAGAAATATCAGATCTACCTCCAGACCGGAAGCCTATTGGTGCAAAATTGGTCTTCAAAGTTGAATACTCTACATCCAATGATAAGGACCGTTTCAAGGCAAGACTTTGTACAAAAGATTTTGCACAAAAAGAAGGAGTAGATTACAAGGAGACATTTTCACCGGTAGTTAGATATGACTCGATTAGAACGTTGTTAGCTGTTGCTGCACAGAAAGGGTTCCAGATACGTCAATTTTATGTAAAGACTGCTTTTCTCAATGGAGAACTTCAAGAAGAGATCTACATAAGTCTTCCAGAAGGTTTAGAGGTAACAGATACTAAGAAAGTATGTAAGTTGAATAAAGCTCTTTATGGTTTAAAACAGGCTGCTGGAATACCACTTTCAACAAGTTCTTAAAACAGTTTAATTTCAGAGAAGCGCAGGCTGATAAATGCATATATATCGGAACATTTTGTAATTCTATAGTTTATCTAGCCCTTTATGTTGATGATGGATTATTATTTACGGAGAATGAAGAAGCTCTCAATTCCATCATACGTAAACTGAGAAAAACTTTTGAAATCAAATGCGATTTACATGTTTTTGTAGGAATGCAAATCATCAGAAATGACAGCGGCGGCTCATTTTTTATTAGCGATCCTACGTTGATAGATTGTTAACACGATTCAACATGTCGGAAGCAAAATCTATCAGTATTCCTTCAGAACCTCAATTGAATCTGAAACCGGCTGATCCGAATAAAACATCTAAAATAAATTTTCCATATCGTGAAGCGGTAGGTTCACTGAAGTTCCTCGCTGCAATTACCAGACAGATATAAGTTACGCTATTAATGTATGTAGTCGATATTTAGATAGATACAATCACACCCATTGTCAAGCTGTGAAGCGAATTATGCGTTATTTGAAGATGAAACCTGATCTTGGCACAGTGTATACAAAGGGTGGGAGAAATCTTGAGTTAATAGGTTACTCTGATGCCGACTTTGCCAATAACTTAGAAACTAGAAGGTCTACAACGGGCTATGTTTTTGAATTGTCTAACGAACCGATTACCTGGTGCTCCCAGCGTCAAAAGTTAGTTATTTTAAGTACCACTGTAACCGAATATGTAGCGGCCTGTGAAGCCACTAAAGAGGCCATATGGTTAAGAAATCTATTAAGTGACATCGGACATCAATGTGACAATCCTACGACCATCAGAATTGACAATCAAAGCTCAATCAAACTAATAAAAAATCCAGAATTCCACAAAAGAACGAAGCACGTTGATGTTCGATATCACTTTATTCGAGAAAAATTTCAAGAATCAATAATTCATGTTGAATATGTACCAAGCGCAATGCAACATGCGAATATTTTCACTAAGTTATCTCTCTCCAGAGATAACTTTAACAATTTAGTTCAGTCTTTAAAAGTTAAGAAGTTGCGCGATT